AAGCTGCCAGGTCTCACCTCATTTCTCCTTCCTGTGCATCTGCTCTGTTTTCTCTCACCACCTTCTCTGCTTCCGAGTTCACAGGACTGAAATAGTCTTCAGCCACTCCACTCTCAGGATTTTCACTTGGGAAGTCTAGCCATTTGGAGAAAGACTGATCACCTTCCCCTATCCTTCCTTTCCTTTCAGTTCAAAAGTCTGGAGAAGAAACTGAATGGCCAGTCGCAATCACATGCTCATTCCTGTCCTAAACATTTACGGCTCTATGGGGGAAGGGAATCATATTCTCCAGCTATGGCTTTTCCCATTACAACAACATGGATGGAAGAGCTGGGTAGGTATAAACACACACACACACACACACACACACACACACACACACACACACACAGAAAAATATTCAGAAATACAAAAGACAAAATCATATCTGGAGCCATTGTTTCATAAAAATGATTAGATGTTTCCTAAGACCTGCAATTCTGATCCTAGTAGAAGAAAACATTGGGGAAATACTTCAAGATATAGGCATAGAGGGGTGGGGATTCAGCTCAGTGGCACCGTGCCTGCCTCCCAAGTGAAAAGTCCTGAGTTTGATCCCTGGTACCAGAAAAAAAAAAAGGCATAGAAAACAGTTTCCTGAATGGGACTCCAGAAGCTCAGGAAATGAAAGCAAGAACTGACAAATGATGTTACATCAAATTAAAAAGCTTAATTCCAGCAAAGGAAATAACCAACAGAGAGCAGAGATATACTACAGAGAAGGAGAAAAGCTTTGCCAGCTATTCATCTGATAGGGCATTAATATCCAAAATCTACAAGAACTCAAAAACTTAAAAGAACAAGAAGGCAAATCAAAAACTGGGCAGATGATCTGAACATACACCTCTCAAAAGAAGCACAAATAGCCAATAAATATGTGAAAAATGACTTATAAAAAACAAAATCAATAAATTCTGCAGGGATGTGGAGCAAAAGAAACCTTTATACATTGTTGGTAGAAATGTAAATTAGTACAGCAATAGTATAGAGTTTCCTCAGAAAACTAAAAATAGAACTACCATATGATCAAGCTATTCCACTCCTGTGTATGTATCTGAAGGAAATGAAGCCAGCACATAACAGGTATCTGCTCACCCTTATTTATTGTGGCACTGGTCACATAGCAAGGATATGAAATGAGCCTAGATGTTCATCAGTGGATAAATGGATAAAGAAATTATGATATATGATATATACATATATTCCTACCATAAGGAATGAAGTCATATCATTTGTAAGAAAATAGATAGGACTGGAGGGAAAAGTAACTTTTAAACAAAGTAAGCCAGACAAAGAAAAATATTGCATGTTTTCTCTTAGACATGGAAACTTGAAAAAAAAGGCCAGAAAGTTAAAAGATTAGGGAAGGGAAAGAGGATGGGGAGAGGATGAAAGAAAGCAGAAGGGAAGGTGGACATGACCAAAGTATGATAGAGAAATGTCATAGTGAGACCCAGTAATTTTTATAATTAATATGTGTTAGTAATGATAATAAACATAATAACTAGGTATTTAATTAACCTAAGAATATTATTACTGCAAGAAAGTAAGTATATAATTATTCACTTAATAACTAGAGCCCTTCATATTGAAAAGTTATGTTCTCTATATCCTGTTTAAGAAGGTAGAGGAAATCTTAGTGCATTGAGATCTCTGAAGAAGTCAAGATTAATAAAAATTATACAACAATCTATTTTGATTTTGTTTTATTGAGACGAGGTCTCACTGTGCAACCCAGGCTGGCCTCAAACTCACGGAAGTTCCCCTGCCTCAGTCTCCTGAGTGCTATGATTGCCTGGCTTCTATTTTGGTTTGTAAGAACCATTGTACTGGCAACAAATTTATTTCTAATGAAACAAACATGAGGGAGGGTTGGGGATTTAGCTCAGTGGTTCTGGCTCCTGCCTTGCAAGAGCAAGGTCCCGAGTTCAATCCCCAGTACCAAAAAAACCAAAGAAACATGAGGGCAAATTGATTATTCTACTCTAGGTCATTATGAGTCCATTTTATAGCACTATTTACTTAAATCACATTTCTTTATTGATCACTTGTCTATAATTTTGATTAATTATTTTATATTTTGGTAGTTTACAATTGGAGTAAAAAGTTAGATTAATGGCTTTATTTCATAAATTACAGTTATTTAAGTCATATTTTCTCCTATTTCTGTCATGATTACAAAACAATAAAATATTGCCTCACAAAATTCAAACTATAGAGAAAATAGTTACACATCTTCCCATGCACTAGATGTAGAGAAAATAGTTACACATAATCTCATTCCCTACACAGCTGTTATAATTTTCCATATACATATATATTTTATGAAGTTTCAGTGGTAGTTATATTTAGTACAGTATTCTTCCTTTTCCATCTTGTCACTTGTTATTCTTGGTAGTAATTGTTACCTCTAAAATGTTTATAAAATTCTGAGTGAATATACTAAAATGATGGAATAATAATTTCACTAATTTTACATATTTAGATTTCTCTCTCTCTCTATTATATAATGTATATCCCTTCCCAGATTATGTAGTTCTGAATAATCCATAAAGTTCTAAGTGTCCATCATACCCATAGTCTGCCTCTGGGGAAAGTAGCTACAGATAATTATTTCTTAATCAGGTTCTATAATATGTCATACATGTAGCTACTAATAATCCAGGCAATTGTGCCTGAGCCAAACGAAGCCATATCTAACAAAAAGGACCATGAGGTGGAACTATAGGAGACTCTCCCCCCAATAACAGGGCACCATATTGGATGGCATAGAAATGATCCAATTACCTTCTCTGTCTTGGTAAGTATAAACATGAGATTACACAGAGACATCAGCATGCTAAGTACACCCTTTTGGAAAAAGAAAAAGGTTTTCAGTACACTAAAGCTGTTGGCTCACCAGAGCTGCAACCATATCATATAATGATATGCTTTGTCTCTAGTTTGGTGTAAAACATGGTGTGCTGGCCATTGTCAGAGGGCTGGGACTCACAGTTATAGTCCAGCTTCTGACATTTGTCCATGTCCATCTCACTTCCCCATAAAAGTAAACCTCCACTATGCAATATATTATTTTTTCTTTTTTCAGTGACTTCCTTGGGATGAATTATCCAAAATGAAATATTTCTGAAGATCTTCCCCTGAATCTTCTGTTCTTCTTAGTCTTTGTCTTCTCTCTGAATCATCTTACTCCTCTCATATCTACAAAGACCATCAAGTTTATGACATCATTCACTTGTAAAATTAATCATTGTTATGGTTTATATAAAGATGTCCCCTCAAAGCTACAAGCACACATAGGTGGAATGTTGGTGTGGTGATTAGATGATGGGGATGTGATACTCATCAATGGATTGACCCAAGTCAAATGTGATGTTTGGAGGTGAAGCCTGGTTAGAGGTGGTGGATCACAGGGTGCATGGCCTGCAAGGGTATATCTCCCTCCCTCTTCCTTTGATTTCTCTCTGCTTCCTGCTTTCCTGTCAATATCTGACACCCACAATTTAAAGGAGGCAGGGTTTATTCAGCTTATGGTTTGTAGAGGTTTCAGTACATAGTTAGGTGGCTTCAAGGTGGAACAGCACAGCAGAGGGGCATGGCAAAGGAGAAAGAACTCATGGTATGGTGGCCGGAAGCAGTGAGAAATCAAGGAGGAGAAAGGGAGATATGCCCTTCCAGGCCATGCTTCCCAGGACCCTCCTCCTCTGACCAGGCTTCACCTCCCAACATCACATTTAGCTCTAATCCTCAGGGACCAATGAGATGAGTAAGTATCACATTGCCATGACCCAATCACCTCCCAAAAGCCCCACCTATGAGGACATGAGGCTTTGGGGCAACATCTACATATAAACCATAGCAGTTTGCCTCTGGTCCCCCAAAAGACTCATGCACATCTGTTTATGCAAAATGCATTTAATTCATCTCTAAGAGTTGCCAAAGTCCTAACAGTTTCAGCATTTCTGAAAAGTGCAAATCCAGTGTCTCCTCTGAGATTTAAGGCAATTTTCTGCTACAGCATAACACACATGTCCTGGAGTCCGACTGCCAAGAGTCCTTGTTTCCAGCTGAAACCTCCTAAGCCTGTTCTTTTCTATTTGCTTTTTAAATCAGCATTCTAGTCCTCTGAGCTCTGACCAGAATCTCCCATCAAGCTTGGTTTAAAACATTCTAGGGCTGCTTCTTCAGCTGACATCTCCAAACTTTTCCAAAGTCCTCCAGCAACCAGTTCCAAAGGCTTCTGAACCACATGGTTAGGTAGGCATAGCAGCAACAACCTCTTCCTAGTACCAAAATATGTCTTAGTTTTTTTGTCACTGAGACACAATACCTGACACTTTTAACTTAACAGAGGAGAGGTTCATTTTGGCTCACAGTTTGTAGAGTTTTCAGTCTATAATCAGCTGGGTCTAAGATAGGTCTTAGTTACTTTCTCATTGCTGAGAATCATTTTACTAAATGACAAAAGTGAAACATAGTATCAATTAGGTTGACGTGATGCTTCTTATCACCTAAAACTTTTATTTCCTAAGTATTGAAAAAGCTTTTTTAGACTGTTGCACATGTATAAAAAGGAAATACAGGGCCAGGGATTTAGCTTAGTGGTTCTGCTGCCTGCCTCACAAGTACAAGGTCCTGAGTTCGATCCCTGGCACCAAAAAATAAAAAATAAATAAAAAGGAAATACAAGTAAAATACATTGATTAATATATTTGCCATCATTTGACTGTTGATTGAATGCCCCTCAAGGGTCCACTGTGATTGAAGGCTTGGTCCACAGGTAGGTGGTAGAACCTTTGGGAGGAGGGCCCTAGTGGGGTGGCACCTGGTGGGGGCACTTGCAAGGTAGTTTTCCTAGGATTCCTTAGCAAGTCTCTCAAGGGGTTGTTATAAAAACCTGCATTTGGCCCCATCCAGTCCTCTCTGCTTCTGGTTGAAGATGTACTTGCCTGTTCCTGCAGATATTCCCACCATTGCCATCTGCCATGATGGGACACAGGCAGAACTGAGCCAATGGACGTGCTGTGCCCTTGAACCTCCAAAATCGTGAGTAAAATAAATCTTTTCTTTTCATAAGTTAGCTGCCTCAGGAATTTCACTGTAGAGCTAATACAGTGTTACTAAATATTTTTCAGTATCTAACCCTTCGCTGTTACTTTTTTATGCAAATTTATCTTTATTCTTATTTCTCCACCACAATATTGTCTCTTGCTCCATCAAGAGTATTGATAAATCAGTATTACTTAAAAGATTTTTCTATTAAGGTCTCTTCAGATTTTCATCCAAGTCATTGACACCCACTCAAAGTTTTGATGTTGGCCTTTTTTTGATTTTTCCAAAACCTGTTAACAGAAGTCTTCAGAGAACAAATCACATACTTTGCTGAAATAGTCCTTAAATGTTTTATTGACTGAAATTTCCAAAGGGTCAGATTTTTCCAGTCCATTTACTTGGACATACAAAGACAATGTAACCTCTGCTTGACAATAATGATTATATTATTATTTGTAAGACACAGTCTGATCTCAGAGATATTAATGTACAATGTTATTTAAATATGGCATGTTCCGGTAACTTCCAAATTTATAATTCCATTCTAGACTATCATATAAAATTGCCCTCCTGATTTTTACTTGGATGATGTGTTAGCTTTCTGTCACTTTGACAAAATATCTGACATACATCAACTTTAAGAGGAAAGATTTATTTTGGCTCAGTTTCAGAGGTTGGCTGGCTCCATTGCTTCTAGGATTGTAGAAAGGCAGAACCATTGTTACAGAAGGGTGTGGTGGAAAAAAGCTGCTCAACATATGGCATAAAGAAAGCAGAGAAAGGAAGAGACAGAGGAGAAGATATAGTTTTCAAGGTCAAATGTGACCATGACCCATTCCCTTCTCCAAGGCTCTACTTCCTGTTTCTATCACATCCCAATAATGCTATCAAATTATACCATCTTCTGATGATGAAATTTGAGTCCTTCTGATTCAGTCACATCCCCAAAATCCTGGCAGCTGGAAACCAAGCTTTAGCACATAGGTTTTGAGGAACATTTCAAATCCAAACCATAAGAGATAACTCCTGTATGCTTGAAACTGAATTATATCTATAATAGTTTTCTGCTGTTGTTATAAAAAATTTTCACCAACTTAGTGGCATAAAACCACACAACATATTGTCTTATAGTTCTTGAAGTCAGAAGTTTAACCTAGGTTTCACTAGGTTAAAATAAGCATGTCAGCAGGGATGGGTTACCTCTGGAAGTTCTACTGGAGGATCCATTTTCTTGCCTTTTCCAGATAGTAGAGCCTGACTATATTCCTTGGCTTGTGGCCCCTTCCACATTCAAAGTGAGCAATAGTCCATCTTTACTATTTCCCAACAGCCTAAAACTTACTCTCTTGCCTTTCTCTTTTACTATAAGGATGTTTGTGACTACACTGGGCCCACCCAGACAGTCCAGGATGAGTGCTTCACCTCAGAATTCTTAATTTCATCACATCTGCAAAGCCCCTCTTCCACATGAGGTAATATATTCACAGGTTCTGGGGATTTGAATATAAATAGATATTTTGAGGGAAGAATTATTCTACTAACCACAGTGTCCAAAACTAAATTCATGATATTCCTCCTTGATAAAATTCACTCCTCCTTCAGTCTTCTCTATCTCAATGATTTAAGCCCCAGTTCATCAGTTATTCACACCAGAAACCTGGACATTATCCTACAATCCTCCTTCCTACTCACTTCCCATGTCCAATCAATCAACATGTTCTGCCATTTCGTCCTCCTGAAAAGCACATCAGTCTTCTTAGTGCTACTTAAATTGTCACAACTCTGGGCTGGATCCTCATCATCACCTTTTACCTGTTTTACTGCTGCAGCCTCCCAACCAGGCTCCTTGCCACCAAAAGTGATTTATCTCAAAACATACTGCAGTGAAATTTATGTGCAGGAAGTTTACATTTTTAATACTTATTCAGCATCATATGGTGCTGGGAGGAGAAACGCACTGTAAAATAGCAAAAGCATGCATTTGGATGGCACTCCAAGGAAACTTTTCCACGTTCTTACCACAGTTAATCAGCTTCACATTCATGTGGGCCAGGTACTGTCATCCTGGTAGTAAGCCTAAAAAACTTAGAGTCAGGTTTTGAAGAAAGATCTCATTAATTCCTCAAACTGGGCTTCTACCATGTTACCACCTTACATTGCTCACTCTTTCTTGAAATTCAACATATTCAAAGACAGATTTTTCTACAACTCCCCTATTTCTATCCTTGGTCCTTCTCTAGTTTACCCATCTTCAAATTTCCCCTTGACTTACTCTATCCTTATCCTTATAGATAGCCAGACACCAGGATTAGTTTTTTTCTGTCTCTGTCTCTGTCTCTGTCTCTCTCTGCTGATAGGTACTGGGGATTGAACCCAGGACCCTTATTGAGCTATATTTCCAGACCTTTTTTTTTTTTTTTTTTTTTTTTTTGATACTGGGGATCAAACTCTGGACCTTGTGCTTGCAAGGCAGGTGGCAGAACCACTGAGCTAAATCCTCGGCCCTCCCGACCATTTTTTAACTTTTTAAAATTTTGAGACAAGATCTTCCTAAGTGACTAAGTTACCCAGGCTAGCCTCAAACAATCTTCCTGCCTCAGTCTTCCAGAGTACTGGGATTATAGGTATGTGCTACAATTTGAACTTTTTAAAAGAGATCTCTCTTGCCTCTGTCTCCACAGACCCCACCATAGCCAAAAAGGTCTATTTTACCTCACAGGTAGTTCAACTGTCTTGTTCCTACTCATAGCAGGAAGGCCACGGTGGAAGGGACTGGTGGAGGAAAGCTGCTATGTTATGGTAGCCAGGAAGTGGGTTGGGGTGTGGTGCTGGGGAGAGAGATAGACCTTTCTACGTCACGTCCCGTGACCCACCTCTAACTGGGCCCAACTTCCTAACATCACACTCAGATGTTAAACTCATTTGTGCACGAATCCACTGATAAGTATAGCACCTCCAAGATCCAGGCATCTTCCAAAAGCCCTGCCTCTGAGTGTATAAGAGTTTTGGGGGTCATTCTTGATCTAAACTATAACATGGGGTCTATTTGACAATTCAGTTATTTATATTGACTGATAGATAGTTCACATAGCTGAAAACCACCCCCAGTTTTTGAAGAGAGATGGTATAAATAGGTAATGTAAACTAAACACAACCATTGTGACAGTTGATTCACAGACCCTTTAATGAGGACTTCTTTGTGTGTCAAGGGCTAAATGAAACTAAAATGTTGGAGAAGATGAAAGAAAATAAAAGAAGATCTGTCCTCACCAGCCCCTCAAGCTCAGAAAATTGAGTAAGTGTAGAAGGGTGGTATGCAGAACAGTCTAAGGAACACATAAAGGTAACAGGCACAAAAAGAAGGCATATGAAGGCAGTGTGAAAGTGTAATCCGTTGATGGAGAAAATGTTTGGTCAATTCATAAGCTAAGTTGTTGCTCTGAAGACAGTAGTCACAACATTTTTACAAATGACACATAATGGCACCAACCACATCAACATGAAGGCATCCAGTCCTGAAACCGAATTCCTGTGTGCAAGAGTACCCACTTAAAACACATATACCAACATAGTATCAATTTACTGGTTTTGTAGGCTTTTGTTTACCAGTACTGGGGATTGAACCCAGGACCTCGTGCATGCTAGGTAAGCCCTGTACCTCTGGGATACCTCCCCAGCCCTCTTCACTTTATTTTGGGTTGAGATTGGGTCTGCCTAAGTTGCCCAGGCTGGCCTTGAACTCTTGCTCTTTCTACCTTTGCCTTTCAAGTAGCTAAGATTACAGGTGTGAGCCACCACACCTGGTTTCGCTTGACTAGTTTTGAAACCAATTTTTAGAGTTTGGTCAGATAAGATATTTTCAGATTTTTACACTAAGAAGAGAAGTGATTTTTATCCAAACAGCAGTTCTCAAGACACTGCCCCCACCCTGGAACACACACACACACACACACACACACACACACACAACATATTCAAATCATTAGTTGTTTGAACCCTGAATGTGGAACAAGGAATACCCCAGATGATTTTTAAATTTCAGAGCGGTTACTATATGCAGTTTCAAGTGCCATAAGGAAGAATCAATCTGCCAAGCAACTATTAGTGATGGGATTGCTTCTGGTTCAAAGTACATGCTAGATTAACTCCTAAAGTAGTTAATTACTGTTCAGATCATGCTGTGGTGTTTCATGGCCTAAAGAGAAAACCACAGCCATCCCAACCTAAGAAGGTGGAAGAGAAGGAAGGTCCTGATCTCTCTTATCGTTTAGGCTGTGTCTAATGGGGCTGGCTTAAAAAAAAAAGCACCTAAAAGCATTTTTTTTTTTTGTCTTAGCCAAAACAGTAGTAAGTAACAATTTTTTCTTTAAATAGATTAGTTGTTCAAATGAATCCACTCATGGTTGTTTGATCCTTATAAAGACACAACCTACATTGAAGCTGCTTGTCAAAGACTCAATATCTAATTTGTCGGTGCTGTTGTTGTTGAATTAATTACCTTTAGGTTAAATACTGCTTTGACAATGGATAAAATTTTCCAGGTAGAAAATGGCAGAATAAAGAATCCCTACATTGCTTTCACTTCAGAAGTATCTACTGAGTGATGAAGGGAAGATTGATCCAAGTGAAGAAGTTGGGAATGGGAATGGGGCACAGGGCCCCTGTATCGTTACTTCCTTCCAGCCCCAAGATAATCAGCACTTCTCAATCATGACTCTCTTAACCCCCACCAAGATTGGAGCTGGCTTCAACACAGTGCACTGGGAGGCCACTGGTAGTCAAATAGGATTACACCTGAAGATAAAACTCATTTTCACTCTGATCTAGAGGGAATATAAACTCAGAGAAAATAATCTAGAAATCTATATTTATCTTCAGCGTTTATCTGCCAAAACTAGGGGAATGAACTCAAGAGTTCATTGATGCCACTAGTGGTTGGTCTCAGGACATTTTATCAAGATATTAAAGTCAAAGGGAGCCAAGTCACTTGTCTT